TTGGAGAGAAGTTGAAGAGCACTGTGTACTTTGGCCTTCTAAAATGAAGAGATAAAGGCCAGTTGGTGGGCAGAAATGTGGTTCTCAAAACAGTTTTTCTATTTTTAAGATAGAAAATACTTGAATTTTTTTAAAAAAATATTTTATTTATTTATTCATGAGAGACACAGAGAGAGGCAGAGACACAGGCAGAGGGAAAAGCAGGCTCCCTGCGAGGAGCCCGATGCGGGACTTGATCCCAGGACCCTGGGATCATGACCTGAGTCAAAGGCAGATGCTCAACCACTGAGCCACTAAGGTGCCCCAATACTTGAGTTTTTAATTCACTGTGTCTACTTCCTCATCTTTGAAAGCTCCAGCCCACCTATGCCTCCACACCTGCTGCCATGAAAGGCTAGGTGTTGGGACTTAAAAAAAAAAAAATCTTTGAGCGTTGTCCAATCACTTGAGAAATTAAAATAATGATAAGACAAGGACAACAACAGTGATGCCATTGGAGATTCAGGAGAGCCTAGGCATAAAGGAAACTTTGGTTTTCACCAGTTGTCACAAATAAATTCATGCTAGTGTCATGTTTTAAGAGTTATCATTATATGGGAATGACCCTTTTGTGCCATGCGTTGAAAGCTTCTGTTCCACCCACAGCAGAATTATCTTTTCCTTTCCAAGGAGAAAGTATCCTACACCTGCAAAGTCTGTTTGGATAATTCTTTCACTGTTTGGTTTTAAATTAGAATGTAATCTTCAGAAAACTATGTAGAGGTCGTTGTGGACAGTTCAGTAAACATGTCATCTCCACGGATAGTTGTCCCTAAAAAAGCTGACTGGGAGCCCTTCTCCACTTATCGACAGAATGATGTGATGCAGGATGAAAACTGCGACACTGCATGAGTCAGTAGTGCATTCTAAATACCGCTTCCAGTTTTGTTTGGCTCAGCATAACTAGGTTTTCAGTTCATGGGAAGCAGTCAAGGGAGGAGTAACTAAAAGGCAAAACTCTTCAGGGTCCTGTGAGGAAGGAAAGAGAGAAGAGACTTGAATTATTTATTATCTGGAGAGGAGGAGGGACAGCAGAGATACACATAAATGAATGGATGGTTTTGTGGAAATCAATTGGCCATTCTTTTTTCATTCTGGCTTTTAGCAGAGAAAGAGGAAGACACTTGTCTCTGTGGCTGAAAACATGTATGAGGTAGATGAGGGCTATGCCTCTCACTGCCTCCTATTTAATCACAGAAAAGCCAATTCTGTGGAGTATCATTGAGAGAAGAAAACCATTTGAAGGTTGAATTGTTTCCTCAATTTCTGGTTCATTATGCTTTTCTCAGAGCAACGTTACCTATGAGGTTCAGCTCTAAGGACTGACCCAAACCCTTTCTGCTGGGCCTCCAGTGCAGGGCCACACGTTGCTTCACATTTTCTATTCTTGTGGGATCCTGGATACGTCTTTTTGTTTTTAATATTAAAAAAAATTTCCAGTATAATGATCATAGAGTGTTATACTGATCCTAGTCAAGTGTTGATCCATAGAGTACATCACCTATGGTGGGCCCAGTATGGTGTGTCGTGACATTCGTTCTCTGTCAGGTGAACTGTCATCACAGGTAGGGCCGACATGGGTGATGGAGGCAGCATATGTCATCCACAACCACCTGCTACATACGGGAATGCTTGGGCTAGTCCTAGGCTGTTTCAAATACTGTCTAATTTTTTCACTTAATTTTTAGTATTTCACTTAATTTCTTTAGGGCTTGGTTCTCGATGTCATCATTTGAAAAGTGTAGCTGGTAATATCATCCTTATTCACTTCATAGGCATCTGTGAAAGTCAACCAGTTCATTACTCATCCCTTCCCTCTTTCCCTCCCTTGACCTACCAGGCATTCATCCAACTCTGCAGTCAGCCCTGGGTCTTCCATGAATCCCCTGCTTATGGTGGGGCTCACCTGTGCCAGATCTGGGCAGGTTCTGCAGGCCCTCAGGGAAAGAAAGATCATGCAATGAAGCTGGTTTGGTTTAAAACCAAACTTAATGTTAATAATATCGGACACGTGTTAACAATATCGGATAATATTTGATAAATGAAAACGAGCCAACAACAGTAATTAGTTCACGTAATGACGGTCATTAATATTCTTTAATGAAGCCATCTTTTAATGGTGTTTCTATTTCCGTGGTCTCTACAACAATTTCTGGGTTGAAAATGACCTCTAAATCTTATAGGGCTTAGTACAGACACTGTTTTTCTTTGTATCTTTATAAAGCCCCAGCATGTTTCTGTACATCCAGAGAAATCACTCTTGTCTGGACCCCCTCACCTTACCATCCTCATCAGACATCCCACAGAGTAAGCAGCACTGTATCACTTGCTTACATGGACTCTGGGGTCAAAGTCTCTGGAGCAGTACTTACCAGTGGTAAGAACTATGGCACACACACACTCAGCTGCAAAAGACAAGACAGACCTGCATGGATGAGCTACATGGGGACCAGATCAGGAGGCTAGGGTTAAATGGCTGTGGGGGCCACCACCCCATCTCACCCTTTATCCTCTGAGCTTCCTTGCATGTCCCCACATGGACCTATGCCAAGGACATGCAGCTTGGGCCATGGGAAGAGTAGAACTAGTGACTCCAGGTCACTTTGCTCAGACTGATCAAGAAACCCTTGACAGGGCAGGGAGGTGAGGATTCAAGAAGTGGGCAGGAAGCCCTTTTCCAGAGTGTTCTCAAGGTCAAGCACTTACTCTCAGCCATGCCTCAGCTCTGCCCGAGATTCAAGCCAACTGTATGTGACATGTCTACCAGGGCTTCTGCATGAGGAGCCAGTGGTGGTTCTGTGAAAGGAAAGAACAAAGTCAGAAAGAAGAGGGACTTCTTCCATTTGTTTTTGGTAGCACATGATTCCTTAATGTATGTGCGCTATATCATCTATGCTTAGCAGAGCGTTTAGTACTCTTGTCTTTCTGTGTGATGCAGTTAATTTCACACATGTGTCCAAAGCCTTCAGAGGCATGTGGACAAGTCATATAACTAACTCACATTTACAAGAGATTTTTTTCATTATGATTCAAAACCAGCCATGAAAGTGTTGTATTAAAGGATGACATTAGAGGCACCTGGGTAGCTCAGTGGTTGAGCATCTGCCTTTGGCTCAGGTCATGATCCCAGGGTCCTGGGATCAAGTCCCGAATCAGACTCCTCACAGGGAGCCTGCTTCTCCCTCTGCCTATGTCTCTGTCATTCTTTCTGTGTCTCTCATGAATAAATAAATTTTAAAAATCTTAAAAAAACATTAAAAGTAATGGAAATAAAATCTACTGTACATTAGGACAAGTCCTTATTCTTCCCCTTAGTTATAGCATTTATAAACTTGCATGAAGATGTGATGGGCCGTTGTCTTGTTAAAAAGTTCTGAGGTTGATATAATCTGTGAAACAGACAATATTGGTAATTTTGATATTTAGAAATAACCAAATGTGTGCCTTTCAAAATCATTTACATTTTTCACTCTTTTTTATAAAGTTTAAAAATATATAGTAATTAAAGTGTGACTAGGGCAGCCCAGGTGGCTCAGCGGTTTAGCGCCTGCCTTTGGCCCAGGGCATGATCCTGAGGACCCGGGATCGAGTTCCGCGTCGGGCTCCCAGCATGGAGCCTGCTCCTCCCTCTGCCTGTGTCTCTGCCTCTCAAGAATAAATAAATAAAATCTTAAAAAAATAAAAAATAAAAAAAAACATAAAGTGTGATTTGATGCTTAATCAGCATCTCAAGTCTTGTATATTCTATGAGTCATTTGGTTGCCATTGACAGAGAATAAACTCATAAGGGTTTAAGCACAGAATGGAATTTATTGGCTTTCATGTGTGCAAAATGGCCCTTATACTGTGGAAGTCCAATTCAGGTGGCTTCAGATAATGCTGAATTTGGGATCTGGGGATTTAATTGATATTATTTTTTTCTGCCTGTTTCTCTTTTTCCTCTCTCTCTTTCTCTGAGTCAGGAGATGTAAGCCATGATAGTACATACCTACATCCTACAGGATTGATAATAAAAAAATAAGACAGGGTTTTTGTTGTTGTGGTTGTTGTTGTTTAGCTCCTCATGTCCACCTATTAAATCTCATGGAAGGGTCTTGAATTGTCCCCACTAGGATCATATCTCTACACTAGGATGAGTCATTGATCTTCAATGTGATGGGCTAACCTAAGTCATGTTTCCAGCTCTGCAAGAAGTTGAGTTGAGAAGCCTTTGTAATAACCACATTAGGACCACATGAAGGTCAGAGGAGTGGTGATTCCCAGAAGGACAGTGCTCCTAGAAGAAACAGTGGGGCTCACTAAGTAGGTAATGATAGTTTCAGATTCCAAATCATGGAGTAGCAAGAAGATAGGAATGAAGATAGAATGTATGTAAAAGGCTGGATGGTTTGTATGGTGTGCTAGTTAGTAATAATCTTCAGTGGCCCAGGTGGAGCCATGGATGATGGACTTGAAGGCTTTGACTAGTTTTCTTTCTTATACCATTATTTTAGGTTAGTATTAAGGCAAACTTTCTCTCTTTTTGAAAAGTCTTCCCAGCAGAGAAGAGTAGTAAGAGACTGAAGCCAAAGATGTTCAATACAATAAATAAAACGTGAGTGGTGCCTGCATGGCACAGTCAGTTGAACATTCAACTCTTGGTTTCAGCTCGAGACATGATCTCAGGGTCATGAGACCAAGCCCCGAGTCGGGCTTTGTGCTGAGCATGGAGTCTTCTTGAGATTCTCTCTCCCTCTCCCCTTGCCCCTTCTGCTTGTACTCTCTCTTTAAAATAAATAAATAAATTTAAAAAACAGACTTGAGAGAAAGAGGGTCCTATTGGTTACGGGGATGTTTGTTTGTGAATCATACTCTATGTTTTGACATTGCATTTTAAATTGACCTTGAAGAATTTCTTTTATCTGAATGTATTTTATAAATTGATGCAAAGGACAATGGAAATCATTTAAAAAGACAAACTGAGCTTTATGCAGTGGCAGTATTGTAGCCAATGAGGTTTATCTGAGGCGCGATTGTAGCTAATTAAAAAGACAAACTGTAACCTAGAAATTATCTTAACTTAGAAGAGAAAATAGAAATTTTAGCATATGATTTTTCCCTAATTTTTTCCTCTTTCAAAGAAAGAGGGAAAAAACCAGACTGTATAAAGCCAAAATTAAATATTAAATGTGAAATTCAGTTTTGCTTCAGCTCATTACAGGACTGAAAATATTTTATATCAAAAAACTGTCAAATATCAAATATTTTATATCAAAGTAACTGTTAAATTAAAAAAAATCTTTGCAAGACTTAGGGAAATGATGGAATAAAAAACATTATTTATAGCCATGAAATTACAGTTGTATTGACACATACAAGCTTTCAAATAGAAAAAAAGATATTTAGAGAGGAGCTGTTAATGTACAGCACGTGCTCATTGGTCTTGTACTTGCCATTTGCAGTGTTCATTTTATAATGTTGCTTCAGGACTCAGACTAAAGGCATACAGGATGCTGTGATTGACTGGTGGGGTCATGGAGGGAGTCAGGGCTCTGTTTCCTAAAAAGGAGCCAGTGTGTTGAAACTGGCAGGTATCCCATTCTGAGACAGCCTGGAACACCAGGGAATTTGTCTATTAAAAACACTGTCTGGCAGGAACAGAGTGAGCTGAGTCTCTCCCGCCCTGAATCGAAGATGTCGACTACAGGTGAATTGTACAGATGTGGATTACGAACAGAAGATTGCTTAACATTTGGGAGGCCCAAACGTGTGTATTTAGGGTAGAGGTTCTAAATCTGTTTTATTCTGAATGACCCCAAAGAGAGCTTCCCTTTTGAGCTACCTGAGAATTAGAGTTTGTCTGAGACTGTTGAATTCCAGAGCATTGCCCTCTGTTGGAGTGGACTGGACAGCAATTACAGCAATCTTGGAGACAGCCCCTAGTGGGACCATGGTGTTTAGAAAGGCAGGGCATTGGGGAAAAGTCTGGATTTGATTTTAGTGAGATGGCATGCCTGAGGAAGTGTCTGAGAACAGCCATTAGTAGGCAGTTCTGATCTTAAGGGTCTGGACTTCCCCAGACAATCCCTCATTAAGTGTTTATCTTATAAGATAATAGCTAGTTGATATTTAGGGGTGCGGCTCCAAATAACCAGACTCTGTGGATCCTAAATGAAGTGGATTGTCTTCTGAAAAGAAGCCTGGTCATTCAGTACTCTACATATCACGGTAAATCTTTGTGCTGGGCATTAGCACACAGGCATGATTCGTGTCATAACACAGGGCAGAGCATTGATAGTGTGGTACCCTCCATCAACCATGGATTTGGTAAAACGTGTGGGTTCACTTGAATAATGAGCCGGGGACATTACCTCAGGGTGACAATCTTCAGTTTTATTGTTACCCTGAAACAAATTCCACAAAGAATTATGACTATAAATCTATATCCAGTGAAAAACAATTTATCATAATCAAAACACTTGTTTTTAAGGAAATATGAAGAAAATATTAAATGTAGAAAACTGTAGGTTGGTGTGTAAAAACATAAATATGCTCCAGAATATGCCATAATTTTTATGTCCTGTGTGTTTTGCTTTATTTGTTTTATTTTTTTTAAAGATTTTATATATTTATTCCTGAGAGACAGAGAAAGAGAGGCAGAGACACAGGCAGAGAGAGAAGCAGGCCCCATGCAGGGAGCCCGATGTGGGACTCGATCCCAGGTCTCCAGGATCACTCCCTGAGCCAAAGGCAGACATGATTAACCACTGAGCCAGGCATCCCTGTTTTATTCCTATTTTAACTTAGAGAACATTCTTCACATTCTCTCATTAGACAAGCATGCCATAATAATTAGATAGAAAACGAAGAAATGATCACTTGATATATACATTTACAAATTTAAAGACAGTAAGTAGTGAGATGAAAAATATTGTTGACTTTCTTGAGCAGAATTTAAATTATTCAGGTTTATCCCCCCATCATTAAGAGAAGTGTTTCGGGGCAAGATTTCATCAAACAGGCATGGTGGACCTACATCCTGAGATACTTTAGGGCATAACATCTGTATCTTCTTCCCCAATGCAATTTCTTTTTGCTGTTTTGTAAAGAGGGATATGAACCTGAAGCTTAATTACAAAGATGTTAAAAATCTAGCACTTTTTAAAGACTTCAATGCTTCAGAAGAGGGTTTTTTTTTTTTTTTTTTTTTTTTAGGCTCTGGGGGAGTATGTTGAAATTGATTATACTCTTGTCTTTGAAAATCCTCACTGTTCTTTTGTTTCATTGTCATTGTATATGCAGTAAAAATAACCCTGGGAGCATGTTATAACAATAGGTTCTGAGAATAAAGCTTCTGCTAGGGCAGTTGTTGGGTGCGTAGATACGAGCACGTGTGTGCATGCACACACATGGGCGTGTTCAACACCTGTGTGTGAGCATGTTAATCACCTTCCTGGACAACTGCCTTCTGCCTCTCAGACTTTGTAGCAAACATTTTTATAAAGTGGGATAAGCAATAAAGTTTGAAAATACATTTTTATGAAGCCCTTAAGCTGTGTATATATTTTAAAAACTCTTGTGATCTAGCCCCTTGTATCTTACTCTCTTTTTTCCTCACTTTTTTTTTATGGTGGTAAAACACGTGAAATAACATTTAGCAGCTTAGCCATTTTTAAGTGTATAGTTCAGCGGTTAAATATATTCACCTTGTTGGGACACAGTGCTCTACAAGTTTTTCATCTTTAAAATCTGATACTCATTAAATAGCAACTCTTGCTTTCTCTCTCTTTCCATCCTTGGTACCCAACATTCTAATTTGTTTCTATTGAGTGGGATCATATAGTATTTGTCGTTTTGTGACTGGCTTATTTCATTCAGCCTGTCCTCAAGGTTCATCCATTGCATAGCATATGATAGGACTCCCTTCCTTTTTAAGGCTGAATAACATGCCGTTGTATGGCTAGACCACATTTTGTTTACCCACTCATCATTGATGACATTAGCCTGCCTTTACCTCTTGGCCACTGTGAACTATGCTGCACTGAATATAGGTGTGCAAATATCTTTTGAGATCCTTTTTTCAGGCTTTTGCACGTATACCCAGAAGTGGGATTGCTGAATCCTAGGGCAATTCTATTTTTAATTTACTATGGAAACTCCATACTATTTTCCAGAGTGGAAACCATTTTTCAGTCCCACCCACAGCGTACAGGGATTTCAATTTCTCCACATCCTTGCCAATTCTTCTTATTTTCTGGAGTTTTTTTGGGGGTGAGTAAAAGCCACCTCCTAATGGGTATGAGGTGATGGCTTATTGTGGTTTAATTTGCATTTCACTGAGAATTTTGAGCTTTTTAAAATGTGCCTATTGGGCATTTATATATCACCTTTGGAGAAATGTCAGATTCCTTTGCCTGTTTTTAAATTTGCTTATTTTTTTTAATTGTTGAGTTGCAAGAATTTTTTTAATATTTAAATATTAATCCATATATATATATATATATATAGCCTTCAACATAAGACCTGAAAGTATAAAACTCATAGAAGGACACAAAAGTTTCGGGACACTGGACCTAACAATGATTTTTTGGATCAGACACCACAAGCACAGGCAATAGAAGCAAACACTGACAGTCTGTACTAACCTACAGACTTCTGTGCATCAAAGGACATAATCAACACGTAAAAAGGCAACCTAAAAAACAGAAGGAAGTATCTGCAAATATATATATATATATTTTTTTAATATGGTAGAAGATAAGGGCCCAGCTTCCTTCTTTTGCATGTGTGCCTTATTATTTCTTGTGATGTTATTACTTTGTTTTTGAAAACCTATATCATTAGGTATGTGCGATCTGTGTAAATTTTGCATCTACAAAAAAAAAATCTTCCCTTTGGTGCAAATCATGAAAATTAACAGAAAATTAAAGTAAATATACATAATCTTACATGAATTTGACTGTGCTTCCTAGAAGGAGTCTTGAGAGAGGGCTTCCGAAGCATGTGACGATATATAGATATATAGAGGAAATGTTCATCAGGGAAATGCTGTTGGTGAAGGAAGCAAGGCTTTGAACAGAAAGAAGTGAAACAAAGTAGTCTTGGGTAAAGTCTAAACTTTCCAATTCACTTTGCTCTGCAGTGTAAATCACACCAGAGAGTCGTCTCTTCTTAAGGGTACATGCTTTTGTACTTCTGTGGGTAGAGTCTTCCACTCCCTGGGGTACTGAGTCTGGCAGGGAATTTTTCAGGGGAGAGAACAGCTCTGAATCCTTACTAGCCAATACTCAGAGCAGCTGGAAGGGCGTGGCAGCCAGTAGGGGGATCTGAACAGGGGATTAAGATCACCTACCCTAATACAAAGACTATTTGAGGTCTTTGATAGGAAGCATCCCCAAAATTGCAAATATAAGCTGATGATTTTTTAAGATTTTATTTATTTATTCATGAGACACACACAGAGAGAGAGAGAGAGAGAGAGAGAGGCAGAGACACAGGCAGAGGGAGAAGCAGGCTCCATGCAGGGAGCCTGATGTGGGACTCAATTCCAGGACTTCAGGATCGCGCCCTGGACCGAAGGCAGGTGCTAAACTGCTGAGCCACCCAGGGATCCCCAAGCTGATGGAATTGAAATATAATTCTTAGTTGTAAATTCAGTTAAGTACACATTATTGCTTATAAATGATAAAATATGCTTTCTTTTCACAGGAAAAACTATGGCACTATTTTTAAAAGATTTTATTTATTAGAGAGAGTGTGTGTGCACATGAGTGGGGGGAGGAGTAGAGGGAAATAGAGAAGCAGACGCCTCACTGAGCAGGGAGCCCGACACAGGCCTCGATCTCATGACCCTGAGATCATGACCTGAGTCAAAACCAAGAGTTTGAGGCTTAACTGACTATGCCACACACTCACCCCACTAATGTTATTTTTATTTTAGCTCTTCTGATATGTGTGTAGTGATAAGTCATAGTGCTTTTAATGAACATTTTCCTAATGGCTGGTGCTGTTTGTCATCCATCTGTGTCAGTGAAAAAAGTCTTTCACGTCTTCTCCCATTTTCCAGTTGGAACATTTGCCTTTTTGCTGTTGGATGTTAAGTTTTTTACATGTTCTCG